CTTTTCCTCTCCAAGCCTCGCAAACCTAAGCCTGCATAACGCTTCGCAATGGCACCCATACATGTACGGCAGTTTCTTCTGCTTCCTGGCAGAACCTACACAGGCTATCCTCTGCGAGGTTCATCCTGGTTGAGTATACACTGCCCTCTTAATTGGCCTACCGTTATCCTAACAATCTTGCGGCTGTGGAGTAGTAGGTCCGGTGTGAACTTGGGCGAGCAGGATTTGATAAACTGCTTTGCCTGTTGTTGTCCTGGTGTTCGCTGCCACCAGCTCTGGTACTCTCTGTCTATCCAGATAGATGTTTTAAAACTCCCTACAGAAATTCTGCAGAATGGTTCTGGGCCTACCATCTCAGCGGCCGTGCCTCCTTTGACTGAGTCATCAGCCTTTTCATTTCCTGGGTGGGCCATTTGGCCGGGTACCCAGGCAATGGTAAGTTTATTGGACAGGCCCAACTCCTCTAGGGCACGTATTCAGATCTTTCTGGAGCCGATTGCCTTTAGAGCCGCCTTGCTGTCCGAGTAAATAACGATGTTTTTACTCTTAATTTTCCTTTCATTTATCAGTATGGCACAGTACATTATTGCAGCGGCATCTGCCTGAAACACCGTGACGTACTGTCCGAGACTTGTGGATATTTCCACCCTAGGTCTGTCCCCGTAGATGCCGGCTCAGATGTGGTCTGCTTTAATTGGAGGACCTTTCTTCCAGTCTTCCCTATCCCGTATGACAATCCGGAAGTGCCTGCTGAAGATGAAAAAAGGTGTTGTTTTGTATGCGGATATCTTGAACAATGAGCTGACCTCTGGATCCTACTCTATTTTCCAGCTCATGGTCCATTGATGTTTTATAATTGCACCTTGGCCTTGTTTCAGTTTGTATAGTACCGCCTTTACTTCACCCTGTATGGAGATATGTTAGCAGCACCTCCAAGGCTGTGGTTGGCGCTGTTTTCATGGCCCCTGTGATGCACACTTTGAAGCTGTCTGATTGCTACGGTCTGTGTGGCCTTTGTACCCCAGGCAACCGAACCATAATTTATCTACTATGTTCAGTGCTTTTCGAGTTCTTTCTGAGACATGTTCTAGATGTCTACCTCTGACTACCAGGACTATATCATCCGCGTAGACCGTGTAGCCGAGGCTGTAGAATCTCTCCTTGGCAATTTTTGCCAGGAGATCGTCGTCAGGACTGCCCAATACAATGGCGATAAAACGCCTCCCTGTGGGCAGCCCCTTCCCACTATTGCTTCTATTGTGTCGTCACCCAGAGTAGATGTAATTACCCTGTTTCGTAGGCTGGCTTCCATCCAGTTGCATACGGTGTACGGGATATTCCTACGCTTGAGTGTATTCATTAGTGATGTTGTTGGAACGTTGTTAAACGCTCCCTCTATATCTAGAAACGTGCCTAGCGCCACCTCTTTGTCATCAATTGTCTGTCAGGAGTGTGTTTAGGTCATCCAGTGCGGAGTCTGTAGACTTTCCTGGTTGGTAGGCATACTGGCGATCGCTTAGAGGATAGAGGTGTCAGTGTGCGGTCTCTGATGTATCTATCCACAATTTTTTTCAGCGTTTTGTGCAGGAACGAGGATAGACATAAAGGTCTGTATGACTTGAGCGTTTTGTCTAGGCACCTGCCAATCTTTGGCAGGTAGGCAACTGTCGCCTTTTGCCAAACTTCTAGTATATAGCCCAAAGCAAGAATACAATTAATTTAGAGATAGAAAAGGAAAAAACCAAAACATACGGACATTTTAAAAGAAAAATGAAGAATGGAATCACCATCTTAAAAATATCTAGTATATTGTTGTATTAGGAGTAGAAGCTTTACTTTATGTGCTGAAGCAGAAAAAGTGTTTCTACTCTATATATGCAACACGCTATTCTTTCTTCAAACGAACTCAAACGTGTAAGAAAAACAATATTTGTATAATTATATTAATTAAATATATTACTGCTGCCAACAAAGGTGACAGCAATCAATCAAACAAAGTGATACGGTTTCATTTCATATTCTAGTTTAAGCCTTATTTTTGGGTTTGAGTGAGTGGTTGAGTGGCAGTAAAAGTACGAGCGGCACTAAAAGTACTTTTACTGCCGCTACGGTTGCCAAGCATAGAAATAAAATTTCCAACATCTCGACAGGTGCACAGATAAAAATGACTTCTTATTAGAAGAGAATATATTATCTTGGCTGTTGATTATCTTCAATTGAGGACATATATTTAGATGAAACTCGTCTATTCTTGCCAAAAGAGTTTTCATGTTCTTTGCAATATTTCCCAATTATCAGCCGTCTTTAAGAATTAGATATTCAATTTATCGGTTCTTGTCTAAAGAGTAGGTCCTTATCCCAAACTCACGTGCCCTTCGCGCTCGGAGTATCCCTGTTCCCCAATGGTTCTGATTCCGATCATGGTCACATTTATTAGTCCACAGAACACATTAGTCGTTATCGGTTCCTATAGTGTCTGCCGCGTCCATTCATAATTTTTAGCAAGTTTTTACTAGATATCGCCATGAGTGAAATTACAGTAGTAGGTGGAGTGGAGTGTGCTTGAATAATCTTAAAAAGGAGTTCAGAGGAAAAAGTTATCGCCAACTATGAATGAAAAAAACATTTTGTTTAATTTTTTTTATTTCAGATACCTAAGAAGTACTTGTTTTCAAAACAAAATTAGGTTTTCAGAAAATCCTTTTGTCAATGTATTATAATAAGTTTGTTTTCTATTCCTCACCAGAATCTCCGTTTTTGTTGATGAAAAAATTGTTCTTAGTCTTGCTTGCTTTGATATAACTATTGGTCTAGGATATTTTTGTATTTTTTATGTAATATATAAGTTTATTTCCAAGATTATCTTTATTTTTCCTCAAAAACCTTTTCTGCGTCATTATTGAATACATAAAATAAGAATACTTCATTAAAGGGTTCATCTTTTTTCATAGTGATGCCTTGAGCAATCAAAGCTACCTACCCTACTATAACAAATTTTCAACAGCCTGTGGGTTTTTTTTATTAAAAAAAAATTATAGATACCCAAAGTTTACCAAATATCAGAAACACGGCAACCTGATTTATATTTTGTAAATGTTGGGTATTCGTTTTTTAATAACTATTTTAAAATGAAATTTTGGGCGTGATTTAGGGTTAGATGTGAAAGAATGAATGGATTTAGGAGGTCAAAGGCCACATATTGATTCTTGAGTCGAGAAATTGTTTCTTGACCGAAGATGGTTTGTATTTGGAGTGAGTAAAATTACTTTACCAGAAGAATATTTATCTACCGCCAGAGCATTTATTCATTTCTATCAAGAACATGTCTTTGAGGTTAGTAACATCATGTACATTTGCGAAGATCATGCGACTTTGAGTCAAGATTAAGATTCTTGGACCAAAATAATGATTACCTTCAGAACAACTATATATAATATTTGCTCCTATCTTAGAACAAAATAATGAATCCCTTGTTTCTCTTAGAATTAGGTCATATAAGTATTCTTATATTTGGGAAGTATTATTAAAATAAAGCCAAGGACTTGGTTGATTTAAGGAAATATTCATTTGGCCATATCCAAAGACTTGGCTCAAAAGTGTTTTACTTTAAGTTAAGATACCTTTTTTATCTGTGTGTTTAAAAAGTGTCATTTTTTTGACGTTTAAAGTTAAACTTCCTAATACCTATGAGAAGTTCATACTTCAGAGAGAGAGGAGTCATGAAAACTCTGTGGATCAAGTTATCTTCAAAAAGAAATGCAAAGTCTGATATCAGCATTAGAGGCAGAGAAAAATGGCTATTATCAATGAAAAATAAATAGAGCGATGCGTCCAATACATAAACGCATATGAATGGAGAACCAGCCGGAACAGTAGGAAATTGTTTTGTATGCTGGAACTACTAGAAGATTGAGTTGAAATTGAGTGAACAACCGGATAATGAGTTGACAAAAATAGGACTTATGATCGATAACTTATAATTATGTCAAATAAAGTATGTTGATTTCAAACTGATACTCCAAAGGAATATGAGCTGGTGGCTTCTGACACGCCAATAGCCACTAGACGTCACACCTGTTTTTCCCATATGCTTTACCCCCTCGCTCCTCATACAGAAAGTGTCAAATTAAAATCGACGGACAATACTTACCTACTACTCCTTTCCTGAAATACAATTATACAGGACGACACATGAAATAGGTAGAGCATCAATATTAACATCTATACACTAAAAATTCCCGATCAAAATTCCACCCCCGTAGGTTCGAACTTGAATGGAGACTGCAAATTGTTTGCTAGGCCCAACTGCATTGTATCGAGCACAAAAACAAATTGACATCGCAAAAACCGTCAATTGTCTCACCAATCAGGGTCTATTGTCTGATGAATGAGTGTTTAGCGTCCGCTTTGTTAAAAAGGGGTGTGTTTCGGGAGGGGTGCTTGTCGAGTACCCCTTTTTTTTCGTATATTAAGTGATTGTATCTGGCGTGTGTCCTCTTATTGATAAAAATGTTACAATAATTTTTTTTTTTGCGAAGGGGTGTGTGTTATCGGATTTTGAGTGATTTGTTTGAACTTTTTGGAATTGGCTATTTTTTTGATATTTTCTTATAGGTATTTACATATTGCCTAAATTTTGTGTATCAACTTTGCTTATACATATTTAGGTAGAATATAGAATTTCTCTATAATCTGTATGGATTTTTTTCGGGGACCGTTCTAAAAAGGTGGAATTGCAGCATCATTAGCTCTTATCTAGTTGTAACCAAATTTAAAACATTCTTCAAACATTTGGCTTCTAAAAACGATTAAAATACTATAAAATCCAAACATCCATTTTAGACCATTATCATCCAAATTATTGATAACTGAAGGTCACCAGTATGGAATCAGCATTGTAAGTGAAGGTGGGGATATTCAAGAATTTACCAATAATTCTGTATAAAATAATCCTTCTCCCCGCGTTTCACTTGTGATATTGTTTGCTGAGTGTCTGAATAGTTTCGTACCTGTTTGTATTTTTATACAGTGAATTTTAATGAATTTTTTTTGTAAAATGGAGTCGACATTTGTAGTTGTAAGTATAGATACGAATCCATTTATTTTTAAAAAAAAAATGTTTCTAGTATTTCTAGTACCTAAATATCTGAAATTATCGTGAGGTGTTTTCACGTGAAATTACATATTACTAGTTTTGGTAAATTTCGAGTATTTTGAACGTGTAGGGGCTCACAATAGTAGGCAACAAACTGTATTTTTTATATTCGTGAAAAACTTTAATCGCTTCATAAATATTATTAGTATCTATAGTAGTATCCTCTGTAGAAGCCTTCAAAATCGTGGCAAACCTAAAACAACTTCAACCTTGAATTTCCCAAAAAAAAATTCCTAGCTGTATTTGTTGAGATCTGGAATTTAATAAAATCGTTCCGATAGCTGTCGCCGAACCAAGTTTATAAACAAAATTTCCTTTCCGCAATTTTTTTTTTCGTCAAAAAGTATATTTTTATTTTTTTGAAATGACGACTGAGAGAGAAGGGAGTGGAAGAACACATATATACAGTTTTCGTTTTGGATATTATGGGGATTGAAACATATTAAAGTGGAATAGGTGCCATTTTATTTAAAACATTTATGATATTCTGACATAAAAAATTTTAGATTTTTAATATTATTTTAATAGTTTGAGTCTATTATTTCAACATGAAATTATTGCTTTTCAAGATAACATTAGAACGGATTTGATTGCTTGTAGTTTCGCGGACATAGGGCCTTAAATATAAATTTTCTGGCGTATTTTGAAAAAGCTTCTGTCGTAATCCTTGGAAAGTAAGCATTAGGTCAATTTGAACCAATAAATAAATTATTTTCGTAGATTTCGATACCTTTTACGGTTCTCGAGTTATAGGCGTTTTGGGAATTTAAAAAAATATATGGGTATACGTACGCGAGTTCGCAGGTAACTGAAACTAAGTAGGTAGATGTACAGTCAGCAAATGAAGTAATGTCCCAAATTAAAAATTTATCAGTTTATAAAAAATAAACTGTTTAAAATATTTATGTAATTTTTTGTTTAACATTAGTTCAATATGGTTGGTCATCAGCTGTAATAAAAAAAAACTATCGTAGTCAAAATATTCTGTTTTAGAGGCCCGTGAATTTTTAATTTGGGACATTACTTTATTTGCTGACTGTATGTATGTACATTGAAGAAAAAGATCAAAAAAAATTAATTGCTATGTAGTTATTGAATTTTGTCAATTTTGACTTTACCAATCCATAGAGCAGGTTAGTGGAAAACGACTCTATAACAACATGATTAGAATGACAATTTGGAAACGGAAAAATAATCGACAAGAATGTTATTTTTGACCAATGACCCAATGAGATTATAAATAACTGCCCCTTCAATGATTGTTCCATCCTCTGTGCTTTTTTATATACAGTGTGTCCCGCTTAACGACTGACCACCCTTCTAAAAATTTTATTTTTTTTAACCGATTCAATTTTTTTTTGTCTTATATCTACTCGAATTTGGCACTTATAAGGCTCATAAAATTATTTCTGCGGCTGTACTGTTGTACAGGGTGTCCACCCACATTTATGGTCTCAAATTTCAATTTTCTAGAAGTACCATTATGGTTTTTTTTAGAAAAAATCTGATAGCAAATTCTTGTTGAGAATGGTCTAGAATCCAAATGTACTAATTTTCGTTTCAATACGATACCCGGTGATCATAAAAAAAATCAAAATTTAATGGACCAAACCGCAAAAATTTCATATTTTGAGGCCTTGAGAACAACAAAATTTGATACAACATAGTTTTAGAACATGCTTAACCGAATCTTGTAGTAAACTTGTCTCAAAATATGACATTTTTGCGGTTTGATTCATTATATTTTGAAAATTTGTTGTGATCACCCTGTATCTTATTCAAACAAAAACTAGTACATTTGGGCTTTAGACCATTCTAAGCAAGAATTCGCTATCAGATTTTCTCTAAAAAAATCCTTAATAGAAGTTATTGAAATTTGAGCACATAAATGTAAACACCCTGTACACCAGTGCAGCGGCAGAAATAATATTATAAGCCTAATAAGTGCCAAATTCGAGTAGATAGGTATATGACAAAAAAAAATCGGTTAAAAAATTAAAAAATTAGAAGAGTGGTCAGTCTTTAAGCGGGACACTGTATTTCTTTGTCTCAGGTTTTATTCGAACTTAGGTACTGTCGGCATTTCTTTGTCTTCTATATCTTTCTCGTCGTTTCAATTTTACCGTATTTGCCTTGGGCTCTGAATACTTTTTGTGTGCTAGTAACGCATTCCACGGTTTTAGAAATTCAGATTATATCATATAAATTTCGATCTAACCTATTTATGTATAACCCCTTATGCTTTGTTCTTCTAAAGATTTGAGGTTGCATTTCTCTTTCCATGTTTCTTCCAGGAATAAAGATTTTTTGTCGGCAACTACGGGACTATACCACTACCAGTTCAATTCTCTATAATATACTTTCACATCCTGGAATCTTATGTTTTATCCTTGTTTTGCCAAGCTGATGTGACTAGTCGATAATCATTTTCCCAATATTTTGTTGGTACATTGATATCAGCCTTTCTTCATTGTTATCCATTACCTTCTCTCCAAATTTTTATATCATCTTGTCGTTGCTTTTTCTTCCTATGTTCATTCACTGAAGTCCCCTGAGCAATGATAATTTCCTAGTTTTATGATTTGATCACTGAGCTATGATTATCTTTTATACTGACGGTATCATCACCGCTAACTTTATTTTATTTCCGATATTGTAGTTTTTTCCCTAACATAGGTACAGGGTGTTTGTTTATAACTGGAACACTCAGTAACTTTTTTATTATTGAGAATAAAGGGCAAGTTCACATTGGAAAATGTCTTGGTAAATTGCAACGTACTTAATCGCTACAACGATTTTTTTTTTTCGCCATAGGAATACAGGGTGCGCCAAAAAAATCATTTTTTCAAATGGAACGCCCTGTATATTTTTGCATTTTTGAAATTCTTAGAAAATTAGCTTCACAAACATATCAAACACTATTTCGATAAAAAAAAATATGCAAGGCGTTCCATTTTTAAAAAAATACCTTTTTGTTCTATCTATGACGACAAAAAAATATCGTTGTAGCGCTCAAGGTTACAATTTACCAAGAAATTTTCCAAATTAAACTTGCCCTCTATTTTCAATAATATAAGAAAGGTACCTACTGAATGTTCCAGTTATAAAGAAACACCTAGCACATAAGTACCTACAATTAGTTTTATTATTGTTCCATCTACCTACTGCTAATACTGCTTGTCATGAAGTTATATGCTTTAACCGAATTCTTTTTGAAGGACCCCGCCGAATATGATCAGACTCTCCTAGATTTCCTGTTCCCCTTCCTGCCATTATGATCTCTATGACGACAATCAGGTAAAGTTTTACCAACGATATCACTTCATTCGTTCCTAGAAATTATCTGGTTTCTCCAAGTACAGTATAGCCATTTCTTAGTTCTCCGATTTTCAGTCCTGTTTCGAGGCTGTTGATTGTGTTTCTTAACATTCTACAGTTTTTCCGAGAAACAGGGAGTTAGCCTGTCTCAATCCCTATTAGGAGGATCAAGTAATTTGGGGTCGAAGTTGTCGTCCTTTGATGAGTCAATTTCCAACTACAGGGCAACAGTTTCTTTACCATATCCCTGGCAGGAGCTCTTTTAAAGTGCTGATATAGGGGCCCAGATGGACCCTGGTTTTTAACGCGTGTGAAGTTAGCACCCGAGTCTCAGCAACGATTTTTCAGGAGGAGCGCATCACCGCCAACGGTAATTAAATGTCAATTTTTGTATAAAGTTCTAACATTTTGGACAAGGGCAATGATGACAATTTTTTCTTGTTTGTTCGATTTTTTTTTAAACAATAACTTTCATAATTTTCCCACACAAATTTCAATTGTATTGTGTTTTGTATTTGTATATACCTCTATTTAATGAGAATGTGTCACTCTGATTTTTGTTTTAAAATGCAGGTATGATGGTAAGGTTTCATAAGATCCACCAGGGAAAAATTTTCCATCGGTAGAAATTTTTTTATCAGTGACTATTTCACTAGAGTGTATTACACCGGCAATGAATTCGGTATTCAGCTGACAATATTGCTACCTGGACAATACCAACAACATGGTATTTCGGCGACCATTTTTTGACATTGTTAAACGGATATTTTTAATTTGAAGTTTTCATTCATATTTTTGCATTTTATCTATTTTCAAAATCTTACGTGAAATAGACATGACGCTCGTGATTTTGTCAAAAATGTCATTCGCGAAATTGCGAAGCAACAAACTTTCATACCTACCTTTCGAAAATTTTGCCGACCAAATTTTTTCTCTTGTGATATTATAGGTATATGAAAATTCAAGGTGTTATAGAGGTAGGCTTTCATAATATTCATAAGGGAAAAATTTTCCATCAGTGGAAATAGCTATTTACCTAACAAGTGCGGAAAATGAATTTTTCCGCACGCGGCTGCCGTTCACCGAACGACGCGTAGCGGAGTTCGGTGAAGCAACCGAGTGCGGAAAAATATTTTCCGCAAGTGTTAGGTACAATATTTTTCCTACAGGCGTAAAAATGTAAAATTTTTCTTTTTTTTTGACATATCAGTGCGGTAAAATTTTTTCCGCACTGACAGCCGTGCGGAAAAACTTTTTCCGCACTGATATGCGTGCGGTAAAAGTTTTACCGCACCGTGCGGGAAAACTCATTTTCCGCACGCATATCAGTGCGGAAAATCGATTTTTCCGCACGGCTGTAGGAAAAATTTTTATCAGTGGAAATTCAAGAAGGTGTTCTCAAACACGAAATCAATATGACATAAAATATATATTTTTTTTTTCGAAAACTAAAAGATGTGTCACCCTAATTTTTATTTTAGAATGAAGGTATAAGGGTAGGCTTTCATAATATTCATAAAGGAAAAATTTTCCATCAGTAGAAATTTTTTCATCATATACATCCCCATATGTTGCACACTTAAAAAATCACACTGTACAGGGTGTATATTTTAAGTGATACCACTATTGCTATATCTGAAACGGTAAGAGCTACAGGGTCGGTTAAATTAGAAAAGAGTTGCCTTGTTTGATGCCCATTTAAGACTCGTTTACAGTGTTGCCAAATTCCTTTTAGTTTATGAAATACAGAGTGATTTCTAAGAAACGTCCAAAAATATTTCATCATTTATTTCGAAAACTATTGATTTTCGAGACACAATTTAAACTTGAAAGTTTTATAATTTTTTCAGCTCTACAACATGGCATCTTCAAATTTTAAATCCGACGTTTCGTGATCGGGATACCATCATCAACTTCATTTTTTTAAATACGGACCTGGATTTTTTATGTCATTTTCAGGAAGCGCCCTTAATAGTCTAGGAGGCAGTGACGATTTTCGGTACCTATTTTCCCAGTCACGAAACATGGATAAAATTGTAGGGTTAGTAATTCTAAGCAAAATTCATATATTTTTAGGGGGGGGTTTTCCGATGGGTTGAGTCGCAAAATGCGTTAGAGCTTACGAATGCACGGCCCTTTTTTTTTCCAGTGATAAAAATAAGTCAACTGATCAGAAGTATACTGAAGTTACGTAAAAAAATAGTCCGGCTTATCTGTGAGTATAGATAATATGTCTGGCAAGTGAAAAATTGAAGACTCGAAAAACTTCAGCCAGACTAACTTTCCACTATCTGAGATAAGCCAAATTGCTATGTTCATATACTTTATGTTCTATTAAAGTGGGTGTGAAATATTTATGACTGGGAAAATAAGTGTACTTGTATTTTTCGTTGATCTAGTGAACCCATCCGAAAATTTTTGCGAAACTCAAATATTCTTGTTTTGTATCACCAAGAGAACAAACTATTTAATATATACCAACTGGGAAAATAAGTGCTAAAAAATTTCACTGCCTCCCGGACTATAATTCTCTTCCCAAAAATGATATAAAAAATCCAGGTCCGTATTTAAAAAAATTAAGTTGATGATGGTAGCTCGATCACGAAACGTCGGATTTAAAATTTGAAGATGCCATCTTGTAGAGCGAAAAAAATTATAAAACTTTCAAATTTAAATTGTGTCTCGAATATCAATAGTTTTCAAAATAATTGATGAAATAATTTTAGGCCTTTTTTATAAATCGCCCTGTATTTCATAAACTAAAAGGACTTTGGCAACACTGTAAACAAGTCTCGAATGAGCATCAAAAAAAGGCAACTTTTCTCTAATTTAACCGACCTTGTAGCTCTTACCGTTTCGGATATAGCCATAGTGGTATCACTTAAAATATACACCCATATAAGAGAAAAAATTTTGTTGGCAAAATTTTTGTTGGCAAAATTTTCGACTGGTATGAAAGTTTGTTGCTTGGCAATTGACGTGTCTCGCAGAAATAGAAAAAGATAGCTTAATTGTAATAAATTCAAGTTAGGAAGTAATAAAAAATGACATGCGCGTGCAACTCGTGGCCAGATTGTATTGTTGCAAAACAAATGTAGACAATACAAATCGAACATTATAACATTAAAGAAGTGATATATTGTCAAGTGTTCTACAACGCCTTAAATCAGACAAAAGAAGAGCTTTAAAGTGTTTGTTAACATCGATGGCACTTTTATTTTGATAAATGTTTCATCCGGCAATATCGCAGAATGAAAATATGTCAAGTATAATTTAACATAACCTTAAACGACACCGGGATAAGTTCAAGTAATACGTAAAGTATTAGTTTGCTCTTTGTGGAATTACACGTTACAAAGAAAGAAGAAACGATTAAGTCTGAACTAGTCCCTGAATACGAATATGACGCAAGCCCATAACAAACTCGATTTTCGTTGGACGCTCACCTACAACCCACGAGTTGAGCGCGCTCACCAGATATTACGAGACACGTCAATTTCGCGAATGACATTTTTGACAAAACCACGAGCCGTCAGGCGAGTGGTTTTGTCAAAAATTTCATGAGCGAAATTACCAAAAAGCAACCAACTTGAATAAAACCAAGAGAATAATTTTGCCTACATAATTTTTTCTTGAGTGGTATTCGGCTGGACTATTTCACGAGAAAAACAAGCCAAATTTTCATTTGAAACATTTATTTTCTTCAGGTGATACTTGTCAAACTCACTAGTTTTTTACTCTAACCACACAAAATTTTGTCGCTGAAAAACCATCATGTTGGTTTTGTCCAGGTAGGAACAGGTAGGAGTTTTGTCAATAGGAAATCGGCCGATCCTATGACATTTTGCCAGTGTAAAACACTCTAGTGAAATAGTCATATATAATATCACAAGATAAAAAAATTTGTCGGCAAAATTTTCGAAAGGTATGAAAGTTTGTTGCTTGGCAATTTCGCGAATGATTTTTGACAAAATCACGAGCCGTCAGGCGAGAACAATTTTGCCTACTCAATTTTTTCTCGAGTGGTATTGGTATGATTTTGCTTGGAAAATAGTTGAATGCACAATAACTTAATAAAAGCCCGAGACCGCGCAGCGGTCCAGGCCTTTTATTTAAAAGTTTGTGTGCATGAAACTATTTGCCAAAAAGCAAAATTATGCAGCATATATTTGGATAGTTTAATCCATTCAAATTTTTATAGGTCGAGTGGTATACGGCTAGATTATTTCCTGAACATTTAGGATTGAATTGTTGGCGTCAATCCTATCCGAAGAGTTCTATTTATTATAAAATGTCAGCATATTTCTATCAAAATGCTGTCAAAAAAGGTAAACAAAAATTTACTCGCTGATAAACAAGGTCTTGTGAAATAATCACTTATTTAAACAAAATTCATTCAAAAAATTACGTTGTCTGATAGGTCTATTTTATAATGAATGAAATAATCATACTTATTTAAACAAAATTCATTCAAAAAATGACGTTGTCTGATGGCACTATTTTATAATGAATGAAATAATAAGTGAAAAATCAAGAAGGTCTTCTCAAAAACAAAATCAATATGACAGGATTTTTTTTTTTTTCGAAAACTAAAAGATGTGTCACTCTAAATTTTGATACAAGTAAGATGAAGACAGAGTCTCCATCTATTTTCTGGCTGGCACACCAAAAATTGCAACCAAGAACTGTATAAAACTAGTATCAAATTGGAGCAAATAGACCTTAACCGTGCTGATGAGCTGTTGTAATACAGCGAAACGCGTCCGTGGATGGTTTTCGAAAAAAAAAAATATTTCTTGTCATATTGATTTCGTGTTTGAGAACACCTTCTTGAATTTCCACTGATAAAAAATGTTCTACTGATGGAAAATTTTTCCCTTATGAATATTATGAAAGCCTACCCTTATACCTCCATTTTAAAACAGAAATTAGGGTGACACATCTTTTAGCTTTCGAAAAAAAAAAAAAAAAAAAAAATCTTGTCATATTGATTTCGTGTTTGAGAACACCTTCTTGAATTGCCACTGATAAAAAATTTGCTACTGATGGAACATTTTTCCCTTATGAATATTATGAAAGCCTACCCTTATACCTCCATTTTAAAACAAAAATTAGAGTGTCACATCTTTTAGTTTTCGAAAAAAGAAATATTTCCTGTCAGGTATTGATTTCGTGTTTGAGAACACCTTCTTGAATTTTCACCGATAAAACATTTTTTACCGATGGAAATTTTTTTCCTTATGAATATTATGAAAGCCTACCCTTATACCTCCATTTTAAAACAAAAATTAGGGTGACACATCTTTTAGTTTTCGAAAAAAAAAAAATTCCTGTCATATTGATTTCGTTTTTGAGATCACCTTCTTGAATCTTCACTGATACAAATTTTTCTACCGATGGAAAACTTTTCCCTGGTGGATCTTATGAAACCTTACCATCATACCTTCCTTTTAAAACAAAAATCAGAGTGATACATTCTCATTAAATAGAGGTACCTATATAAAAATAAAAAACAAAATACAATTAAAATGTGTGTGGGAAAATTATGAAAATTATGCCTACCTTTATTTAAAAAAAAAAAAATCGAACAAAGAAGAAAAAATTGTCATCAGTGCCCTTGTCCAAAATGTTAGAACTTTATACAAAAATTGACCTTTAATTACCGTTGGCGGTGATGCGCTCCTCCTCTCCTCCTGAAAAATCATTGCTGAGAATCGTGTGCTAACTTCACACGCGTGTTTTTTACCAAGTTTGTGACTCCTTCTCTTCCTTTATTCCCAGTATTGCAATGGGACTCCAAAACTAGTTTGCGCCTCAGTAAAATAATTTGACATTTTTGACAATAATTTTTTTCTAATTAAAAATAATAGAAGAATAAAACAACACACAAAAAATGACAAAAAATCGATTGAAAAAAATGTTTATCGACTTGATCTCGCAATGAGATGCAATTGAATGGTAATGTGTATCTTTCTATAGCAACCTTGAAATTCCTTCGTTCTTTGGTAGTCAATAAATGGGTGTAATTTCCAAGTGTATATTTTTAAAGTATGAGATGTGTTTTGCATATGAAAAAATGTCTGCATTAAATCAATAACTAAAATTTAAGTAACTCTCTCAAAAATCACATTTTAACTATTGGGATTCAGCTTATAATTTGATATGTTGTTACTCTTTTTTAGGTTATCCTTTTCTCCCTCAACCTTTTCCCAAGTACATTGTGCCAATTTGCCCCCACAAATTTTCAAAGACAGAAGTTGAATAATTATGATACTAGATTTGTGGCAGCTAGTAGAGGTGACCCACCACCATGCGACGTCAAACCTGGAGAGACCTATTGTGAGACTTTAAAACATTACCCATAGTAAGTACCTATCATACTATAATAAATCTGTTTGCCTAGGTTCATTAAACTCAAATGAGTAGGTACTTTCTGAAGCAAAAAAACTAAGTAGGTAACTAATCTCCATAAAAATTAAAAATGCAATATCCGTGTAAGATATTGAATTTTATCGGATTTCCCATGTCAAGCTAAAAATGTGGTTTTTAAGTTAAAACAACGTAATTTAATTATCATAAAATCATTCATATTTTTCCGATATTATTAATTAAAGCATAAAAATTTGTGAATTATTGCGCTCGTTAGCATGCTAAATACTGCGATTGTTTTGGAAAAGAATGTGAATATTTAAACTTGCGGTAACCTGGAATTACCCAAAATAACTCACTGTTAAAGAATTCTTGATGATTTTATATTTGCTAAACCGTTAGGTGAGAGTACCTAAGAATTGCTCAAAGAAAAAAGTACCCATTAGAAATTTTTTTTTAGTGACATGATAATAGACGCAATAAGAAATTCGAAAATTGATGTTAGTAGACTACTGGTAGATGAATCCTATGACAATGCGCCAAATTTTGGATTTGTGAAAACTGGCTCTAAGGTGGTGACTGAAAAAATTCTGCCTGACGCTAACTTTTTTGAAAGTTTGAGAAGGAATCAAAGAAGTAATTCAGGTAACAATAACCAGCACTTCAATTAAATTTGAAAGCATTTATTACAATAATTACATGCTAGTTTTCTCCTACTATAGGTGGGTTTATTTGAATTTGAAATAGAATTTTTCCGTTTTCAATATTACAAATGGGGGTTTTCCAAAGAATATAAAGCCTAATTTATTATTTATTTCATTATTTATTATGTTATTTCATGAAAAATAACAAGTGTCAAACTCAGCTTCTTAATGCACAAAAATTATGCGTTGTATAAACACCTCTTTTCTCTTATGCATTACGCGTTATGAATTACACATTATCAATAGGCTCCTTGCATCAAATTTTTTTTATTGCTGATTTCGATAGTCCATGAAAAATAAGTCAACACGTGTTTTTTCTTTTTCTTCTTAGTCAAAAATTGACGGAGATACAAAGCTATGAAATATGCCTATGACGTCACTTATCATATAAATTAGTGACGTTGCACATGCTCAGTATATCTATATAAAAAAAACTTAATATTTGTATAACTTCCGGAATAATCATATTTGGGCGAAATTAAAAAAAAAGTAACGATTTTTTTTCGATTTCCTACAGTTTGCAATAAACAATAATCAATTTAATTTTCCATGCAAATACCTAAACCCACCTCATAAGAAAGCACGAATGTTCTTACCTATTTTTTTTTTTTTTTTTCAAAGAACTAGTCCTTCGTCTCATTTTGCTTATTGATCATGATTTTCCATTAGGTAATAATTATCAATAGTAATATAACTAGTGCAATGGAAATTATTGATAATTTTTAGGAAATTTGCCCGAATGCATTTTTAGCACGACACGAGTGCACGTAGTGCACGAGTGCCTTTTTCAGTTAAAAACGTATGAGTGCAAATTTGTTGAAAATTATAAATATATTTCCGTTGCACGAGTTGTATTTAATGAGAGAATTTCATAAATCAAAAATTTAAATTTTTTGTCAAAAAATGTCAAAACACCAGTTTTCGCACCAGTTAGTATGCAATTATCTGATAATTTGCACTAGTGCAAATTATCGCGTAATTACAATCTGATTGGTTCAAATCAACAATCAAAACATGTCAATTCAATGTTGGAATACCAGTTTTGACAGATGTATGAAATTCTCGCCATAATATGCATCATGATCAAATATACATTTACTAACTAGTGGTTATAAGGGTGTCCCAGAATTGGAACATCAAAGGACCCTGCACACGTCTTTTGGGTTTTTGGTTTTCTGTCGAACTCAATGATATGTGGTATATCTTAACTTCCTGATAAAAAGTTCTCATAGGCCCAACCCGAAACTATGATTGGTTTGGAGAAACAGGTAGTTAGTATCCAAGAAATGTAAACATTGTAAGTATATGCATTTACATCTACCTGTCACCTGAGCTTGTGGATACCTGTAAGTCCTGGTATAATGAAATTATTAGTTATTTACCTAATAAGTGCGGAAAGTTATACTTTTCTGCACGCAACGGCGTTTGCACGAACGACGCGCCAGCGGAGTTTGTGCAAGCCGTAAGTTCGGAAAAGATACTTTACACAACATTTTTCCTACGAGTGTGCGGAAATTAACATGTTGTTTTTTTGTTTGTTTTTGGCTCTACTGATAAAAGAAATGGTCAAAAATTTGATTTTTAAATGAAATTTATTAACGCAATAATTTTAACAACAGAACATTAACCAATTAATTATTTATGGTATACAACTCATTAAAGAGGTCGATAATGGTCAGTACAAAAACCCAATATGTAGCTTTCTTGAAAAGAAAAAACGGTGGAGCAATTTCGAAAAGGTCTAAAATTTTTGAGAAGCATGACATAGAGAGAAAAATTTAAGAAAAAAAAATCAGTGCGTGAAAGACTTTTTTCGCCCACGCCGTGCGGTAATTTTTTTTTCACGCACGCAGTGCGGAAATGTGGTACTTTCCGCACGCAAATCAGTGCGTAAAAACGCGTTTTCCGCACGCTCGTAGGAAATACTTATTTACATCACAAGTGCGTTTATGAACATGATTACAATAACAAGTATGAAAGATTAGAACGACGAGGTCGTAGACCGAGTCGTTCTAATTATACGAGTTTTGTGGTCATCTTTAAACGCACGTGTGATGTATGTACAGGGTGTCCCAAATTCAAGGGCCAAAATGGGGATATCGTTAACCGTTAGAGATACGAGGGTGGTTTAATTAGACAAAAGTTGCCCATTTTGATGCTTAACAAAATGTCATTTTAAAATTTCAGAAATTCCTAATACTTCCGGAAATATCCGGAAAATTCCGAGAATTGCGATTCTGGTTTTTATTATTTTGAGGCTTTATTTTAAGAGATCGAGAAAAATCAAGATAACTTTCTTGAAGCACCTTTAGGTGGACTTTACTGTGGTGATATTATTTTGGAAATTTGACGTTTCGGTTTTCCAAGGCCATCATCAACTTAATTTTCTCTAATACGGACCTCGATATGTTTTCACATAATTTGTTTGGTTGCGACATTCTAAAATACGTCTTTGTATGTACCAGGTGTCCCACTAAGGTCGGCCAGGTACGATATTATGGAAACCATAGACCTTACGGCTTCGGGATTTTTTTTTTCTTCACTAAATCGGCCAAGAGAAATTGATGGAAATTATTTTCAAGTTTCTAGGATGATCGCTAGGGGGCGCAATTACGATGATATGGCTAAAAATTCAACTTTTCTCAAGAAATCGCTATATTAAGATACTGTTTTAACAACAGAACTCAAAATTGCATTAATTTTTGCGCCAGTTTGGTTTTTAGGCTTTTTTTCGTATCTTCAGTAATAAGGGTGGGGGAAGCTGGTGAAATTTTTTTTTTAGAAATTGCTGTATCTTCCATACCCCTAATTCAAACTCATTCAATTTGGGTTTATTTGGAAGAGAATTTCATTGTTATTAAGAACACCACTTCGTTCGAGGTCGATAGTTCCCACCGCGTCTCTAGAGGGCGCTGTTTATTCAAGATCCAGTTTTTCCTAATTTTCATGAAAAATCCAAATGGCATAATATTATTTTTGTATTGCTGTGCTTAAAGAGCAAAAAAATTTCTACATTTTGGCGCAAACCGCAATTCAATATCTGCATTCGTTTTCAAGTTACGTGAGGTCTATGGTCTCCATAATATCGTACCTGGCCGACCTAGTGGGACACCCTGTATAACACGTTTTGAAATTTCGACGTTTCGACCGAAAATATTCAATCACAGGGAAAATTATTGGTTGATGATGGCATTGGGTAAGCCGAAACGTCGAATTTCGAAAATAATATCCCCACATTAAAGTCCAGACAAAAGTGCTTCAAAAAAGTTATCTTGATTTTTCTCGATCTCTTAAAATAAAGCCTGGACAAAATAAAAACCAGAATCGCAATTTTCGGAATTTTACGGATATTTTCGGAAGTATTGGGAATTTCTCAAATTTTAAAACGCCATTTAGTTAAGCTTCAAAATGCGCAACTTTTTTCTAATTTAACCACTCTCGTATCGTATCGAATTTGGGACACCCTGTACATACAACGTTTTATCTACGAAGCGAAAAATAAGAAAATGTTTTTTTCAATTTTCGTTTATTAGTAGTTGTCTACCTTCATTTTACCTTATTTACAGGTTTAACTATGACATATTTGTCAAATTACAAAAACTAGTTGTTTTATAGATTCACAACCTAGTCCATAACACCACTAAAGTCTATTTTTTCCCAAGATGGATTTTGACATTGAAAACTTTGAAACGTAAACAATAACGCTTGGCCCTGATTGGTCGCAAAATGCCGTGTCCCTGCAGGTTGAAATCAGTTTTACAATGCATGTCGTGCAAATGACATGTTGCGACCAATAAGCGCCATAAGCGGCATCGTTTATGTTTCAAATTGACAGTGTCAAAATCTATCTTGAGAAAACATACAGTATAGTTGTGTTATGATTATCATGACATAACTCAAATACTAGAATAGTACATTAAAATACAACTTTCATAAGACGTCATTTTATCGCACGAGCCCTATATTAGAAAACGAGCCGGAGGCGAGTTTTCTAAAGGGCGAGTGCGATAAAATGTCTTATGAAACGAATATTTTATACTATTTTTTCTATTTTGGTATTGATTAATTAAAAAAAAAAACAAATTTTTCTTGGAAATTTTATTCTCATATTTCCTGATTTCATATGTTTAGGTTGGTAACACTGCATGCCAAATATAGAAATCTTCTATTATAAAATCGCGAATGACAGTTCGATGGCCATCAGTCAGCCAGTGTAACCAACCCCCGATAAGTAAAAAAGGAGTGTCACAAAGAGCTTCTTTTCGAAACTACTTTTAGTGTCGAAAAGACTTCTATATGACACCAAAATAGAAAAAAATAGTTATGTAAAGACGTCATAAACAAACGCTTATAGATAAAATAATGGATGCACGTCATCAATGACGTCGAAATTATTGCCAATTGCAGTTTGTAAGTAATTAAAATTGTATTAATTGAATTTCGTTTTTTTTTGGTACCTTTTAGTGATCCTTATCAATTTATTAATAAAAATGTAACCTGGGAAAATGACAAACTTCACTAGACATGGTATGTGAAAGTAAAACGAAGTTGATTCGGCAACATTGCGACATGTTAACGTCATAAATTTTGATGATTCATTATTTTATTAATTTCCCTTTATATGTATAGGGCATTCCAACAAACCGTCAAAAATGGCGGCTGTCAAAAGTTAGCCAGGGCAGGCAAATGTTAAAGTGCGTAAAAATATTGGTAAAATGCCTGCATTTTGTTGTGTAGTGAAATGAAGTAGTAGGGGATAACGCGACAACGTTAAATTTTACGAAATACGATCGGAACTGAATCGAAAGGTGTCGAAAGCATCCTGATAAAGTTAAACAAACAAATAAGAAGACAAAGTCGAATAAATGCAATCAAACTTGAAGATTTAACTGGCAGTGAGTTAAAATATGCTGTAGTTTGTTAGAGATATATGTATATTAG